AAAAAAGGGGAAATCCACAGGGAAATCAGCAAAAAAAAAACTGAGAGAAGGAACAGGAAACTCCCCAAAATCCACAGGAAATCAGCAAAATTCCACAGGAAATCAGCAAAAATACCACAGGAATCACCCTAAAATCCACAGGAAATCAGCAAAATTCCACAGGAAAACTCCCTGAAATCCAGACGAAAACTCCCTGAAATCCACAGGAAATCAGCAAAAAAAAAACAAACTCCCACAGGAATCGCCCTGAAATCCACAGGAAATCAGCAATAAACCCCACAGGAATTGCCCTGAAATCCACAGAAAATCAGGAAAAACACCACAGGAAAACTCCCTGAAATCCACAGGAAATCGGCAAAAAAAAACGAGAGGAAGGAACAGAAAACTCCCAGAAATCCACAGAAAAAAAGCAAAAACGGAAAAAAAAAAAAAAGGGGGGGGGTAAAAACCCACTCAGCTTCAAAAGAGAATCAAAAGGGTTAAAAAAAAACAGAATGGGAAAAGCAGACAGGTTAAAAATGGGATGGAAAAAGCACAGCTTTAAAAATGGGATGAGACAATGACAAAGGCTAAAAATGGGATGGGAAAAGCAAAAAGGTTAAAAAATGGGATGGGAAAAGGACAGGTTAAAAAAAATGGGATGGGAACAATCACAAAAGTGAAAAATGAGCTGGGACAAGGACACAAGTTTGAAAAGCAAAGGGCTGGAAATGGAAACGACACAGCTTAGAGAAATGCAGATTTCCAACCCGGGAGCTGATCAATGAACCAATAACCAATCAATAATCAATAATGATTATTATTGCTCCCAGAGGGGTCGGGCTCACCTTGTTGCAGGTGGAGTAGAAGTAGAAGTAGCAGTCATCCCCCTGGCTGGACATGCTGAGGGATCCTCACAGCTTACTCAGGCTTTGCTCCTCCCTTCTCCAGAATTGGCTTCTCTGCCTTAGCTGTGACAGCTCCTTTTTAAAAGTCACCCTGCAGAAAGGGATCAGGATGAAAAATCAGGATTTAGACTCGTTTCCTATTAACTGGTTAAATTATGTATGCGTTGAAGTTAAATAGGAATAAAAATAAAGCTGAATTTGGTGAAAAATTTGGTTTTTATGTGAATTTTTAAAGCAGATTTGGTCAAAGTGCAGGGGTTTTGTCAGTATAAATTGGGATTTGGGAGCTTAGGAAGAGTTCTGGGTCTTGAGGTTGAGAAATATTAGAAGCGACCCCAAAAATTAGGAAGTGACCCCAAAAATTAGGGAGTGATCCCAAAAAACTAGGGAGTGACCCCAAAAAATTAGGAGGTAACCCCAAAAAAGTTAGGGAGTGACCCCAAAACAAAGGCACTTCTTCAAAAATTGGGTGCGATTTTCAGTTATTGATGATACAAGAAAATTTTAATAATAAATTAAATAAATGTTTTGATATTGTTATAATGTATTATTTGATATCACACTATTATTACAAATCCCAGGGGGATTTTTTTCCCCCAGTCCCAGGGAGATTTCGTCTCCATTTTCCCCCCAATCCCAGAGGGATTTTTCCTCCAATTTTCCCCAATCCCAGAACATTTTCCCCAGTCCATGGGGGATTTCCCCCCAATTTCCCCCCAAACCCAGGCCCTTTACCCCCTAATCCCAGGGGGATTTTCCTCCAATTTTTCCTCAAATCCAGGGCATTTTTCCCTCAATCCCAGGGGGATTTTCCTCCAATTTTTCCTCAAATCCAGGGCATTTTTCCCTCAATCCCAGGGGGATTTTCCCCCAGTTTTCAACCAAATCCAGGGCATTTTTCCCTCAATCCCAGGGGGATTTTCCCTCAAATCCAGGCCATTTCCCCCCAATCTTTCCCCCAAATCCAGGGCATTTTCCCTCAATCCCAGGGGGATTTTCCTCCAATTTTTCCTCAAATCCAGCCCATTTTTCCCTCAATCCCAGGGGGATTTTCCCCCCAGTTTTCCCTCAAACCCAGCCCATTTTTCCCCCAAATTTAGGCCACTTTTCCCATCCCAGGCCACTCTGGAGCTCACCCACCTGGCCCCGCTGAGCCCAGCCTTGGCTCTTCCCAGCCATGCAGTTCCCCTCTCCTGTAGGCCGAAGGATTCCGTCAATGAATAACAAAGGGGCAGAAAAAAATTTTGAATTTTGCCTTTTTTTTTTTTGTTTTGTTTGGATTTTTTTTTTTTTTTTTTTTTTTTTTCCTGACAATTCCAAGGGAACCTCTCAGCCAACAATTCCAAAACTCTGAGGTGCTCTCAGAACAATCTGATAATTAATGGAGGAATTGAGTCCATTGCAAATCTGGCACACTGGAGACAGCCAGGGATATTTTAGCTCTTCCAATAAAAAAAAAATTAAAAAAAAAATAAACAAAAAAAATATAAAAAAAGCGCCCCAGCTGCTTTTTTTTTTTTTTTTTTTAAGATGAACTCAGGATTCAAAATGGCTGCAAAAATAAGGCTCCATCTTCCACAGCTGGGGAAATTTCTAATTTTTTTTTAATTTTTTTTTTTAATTATTTAATTCAGTAAGTTGCAATTTCGGGTCTTCTGAGATTTCTTCACCTATTAAGAAAACACAAAAACCTTCCCCCGTCCTTTATGACCTGTACAATAAAAAGAAACAACCCCAAATTTGTGTGTATAAACCCAGAAATGTGTTTATACACACCCCACCAGAGGGAGGGACAGCAGAACAAGGAGAAAAAACAGCAATAAAATTCAAATTTTGGGCCCATTTCCCACATGAATCTCTCATGGAGGGGGGGAAAAATGAGATTATTTGATGGATTTTTGATGGGGTGAGAGGGGATTTGGGGACACGGGGACAGCACAGGGACAAACACATCCACCCCCATCCCTCAGGCAAGGAAAAACTGAATTTTCGAGGGGATTTTTGGCAGGAATTTGTTGGGTTTTCCATCAAATATTCCAATTTTTCCATTTGTGCTGTTGCCTAATCCATTCATCCACCATTAGCTCGTCCCAGCAGCTGACTGGGGGTTTTGGTGCCACCAAAAATTGATTTTTTTTCGCATGAATCACGCTTTTCTTTTGAATATTCTTCTAATAAATCTGATTTTTAGGGCTCTTTTCCACACAACCTTGTACCCAGAACAGCTAAAATACAAATAAAAGTTAATTTTACCCCTCAGATATTTCTGTGCAAAGGATTTTTCACACTTTGGGGAAGACAAAATTCAGTGAAATTTTTCTTTACAGCTTAAGAAGAAACAGTTTGAACCTTTTTACTCACACAAACAAAATTTTCAATTTTCCCAGGAATTTTTTTTTTGTTTTGGCCAGAGAATTTTCCCAAATCTAAAATAAAGAGAGGAAAAATTGGGTTTTCATATTAATTATTGGTTTGGTTTTTTTTGCTGCTTGAGAAAGGGAATAAAACAGGATTTAAATGCATTTTTGGACCTTCAAAATCAGATTTTCCAGGGGAATTTATTCCTAAAAATTCCTGGAAATTTTCTTCTTTTCCTCAGGGTTTTTTCCCCAATGTTCTTGAGAGTTAAATTGAAATTTCAAGGCTGAATTTGCTGAATAAGGGGTGATAAAATCAGGAATTTAAACCCAAACCAGGCTAGAAAATGGAATTTTCACAATTAAAAACGCAACATTTTCCTACATCCAGCACCTTGGGGGGAAAGAAAATCCCTGGAGATTTAATTCAGGGATTTAATTTAATTCAATTGAGAAATTCAATCAGCTTTTTGCCGCCCATATTTTTCCACATTTCAGTTCAGAGTCTCAATTTTCTTTAAATAATTGGAATAAAACCTTGAAAATCAACAAAACAACAGAAAAAAAATCAACCAAACCTCCCCTCCCCAAACCCCCTCCAAGTTCTAAACTTCATCAAGGTAATTTAATTATTAAAAGGTTCATTAAATATTTTTTTTTTGTTTAATTTTAAACTGGTGTCGAGGTGGCAATCAAAAAAAAAATCTGAATAAAAATTAGTAACTCTGGTGCACTCAGCAGGTCTCAAATGAATTCAAATTAAGGAAAATTTAAAAAACATTTTTTTGTCCAAAATACCATTAAAATTTTTCTGGTAAAATATTTTTTAAACCAATTGTTTCTAAAAAAAAAAAAAAAATCAAAAAATTAAAATTTTTTAGAAACCAGGACCTGAGGGTCAGCAAAAACCAGGCCAAAAACCAACACAAACTTTTTGTTTTTAAAGGGAAAATTTAAATTTTTAGAAGGAAAATAAAGAATTTTCCTGTGAGGAATTCTTGGATTTCAAACCCCCAAATTTGTGCTTTAAAGTCCTGATGATTTATCAGGTGAAAAAAGAAGGAAAAGCACCAAAAATTCCACTTTTTTACCCATTTTTAACCTTTTATTTTCCTCTCTCCTCCAGTTTTCCTCCTCAGGAATCAACTCCAAACCAAGGGAAGCTGCTACAGCCACTCTTGAATAAAACAGGAATAATTAAATAAAATTTATTTTCCTTTTGGCTTTTTTCTCTATTTTTGTGCTCAACCCCAAGGCCTGGCAATGATTTCTTGTGACAATTCCTCCCCATCATGGGAATCTTTTCTTAAATCCCAAAAATATTCGATTTTCCAAAAAAAAAAAAAAAAAAAAATCCAATTTTTCCCTGGATTTCACCTTGGAAAATGCCACCACCAGGAAGTTTTACCTGGAAAATTCCCCCTGCTCTGCTTCAGCTGTGCCCAAATTCAACCCTTTATTCCCCTTTTATTTAATTCTACTTTTTTAAAACTTCCTGTTTTATTGAATTCTAATTTTTTACACCCAAATATTTAGGTTTTTATTTAGGATATGCACGACCCTGAGTGCAATTCTGGGAATAACCTGGAGGCTTTACAACAACAAAAAAAAAAATCACATTTTGGTTTTTCTGTACCAAAAACGACGTCAGAAATCTCTCAGCTCCAACCTTTAAAAAAAACCCAAGAAAATACCCGAAAAATTCGAATTTTGTTGTTTTTTTTTAACAACCTCAAGGAAGATTTCAGCCCGGTCCTGAAGTTCCTTTAGGGAATGAGGAGAAATTTGGTGACTGTATTAGAAATACCCCTCAGACGCGTTGATACAACAAGGAGAAAGGAGATTTAAGCTGAAAATGAGGAAAATTAGGAAGTATTTCTGCTGAAAAATCGAATTTTGTGAGGGGATGAGCGCTGAGGGGAAAAACCTCGGGGTTACACCGGGCGCGCTGCTCCTCCAACCCAAACCCCCGGGGCACAAAACCCACCGAAACCCGATGTTAATCCCGCTAATTCCACCTCATCCCGCTAATTTCACTTTACTAATCCCGTTTTACCCCGATTTATTCAAATTTATCCCAATTTATTCAAATTTATCCCGGTTTATCCCGCTCGTCCCTCAGCGTCCCCGCTGTGGGGGCAGCGCGGGGGATGCGCGGCCTGGCGGAGGAGGCAGCGCCGCCCTCGCCCCGCCGCGTCCCCCTCCCAGCCGCCGCCGCGGGGCTCCGAAGCGCTTTTATTTACGGTCGCTCAGGGAGTTTTACCGAGCCCCCGGGGGCCGCCGCGCCGCTGTTCGCCGCGATCCGCCGCGATCCGCCGCCGCCGTGTCGCCGGTGCCCGGCTCAAAGATGGCGCCCGGCGAGCCGCGCAGCCTCAGCGCCGTCGCCGCCAAGATGGCGGGAGGAAGTGGCTTCACTCTCCCGAGGTGGAGCAAAACTGGGTTTTGCGGTTTTGGGTTCCTCGCGCTTCAAAAGTTCTTCAAAAGCTGGACAAAGACTTTATTTCGGAAATGAACAGGATTTTGTTTTTTTCGCCGAGGGTCACCGCGTCCCGGTGCCCAGCTCAAAGATGGTGCCCGATGCCAAGATGGCGGCCGGAAGTGGCTTCACTCACCCGCCCTACGGGAAGGGAGAGGGCGGGCAGGCGCCTGAGGCGGATCGTGGATGAATTTTGCTATTTGTTTTTGCTCCCCCACGCTTCAAAAAATCTTTCAAAATGGCTCAAAAAGGGGACAAAGCTTCTCTCTGTGAAGGGAATAGGATTGTGTTTCTATACCCTGTCCGGGCCGCCGCCGCCGCGTCCGGGTGCCCGATTCAAAGATGGTGCCCTCTGCAAGATGGCGGCCGGAAGTGGCTTCACTCACCCTTACGGGAAGGGAGAGGGTGGGCAGGAGTCTGAGGCGGATCGAGGATGAATTTTGCTGATTTTGTCCCCAGGATTCACAAATCCTACAAAAAGCCTCAAAAAGGGGACAAATAATTTACCGGTGAAGGGAACAGGATTGTGTTTCTCCACCCTGCCGGGGCCACCGCCGCCGTGTGCCGGCGCTCGGCGCAAAGATGGTGCCCTCTGCCAAGATGGCGGCCGGAAGTGGCTTCACCCGCCCTACAGAAAAGGAGAGGGCGGGCGAGCGTCTGAGGCGGAGCGGGTGTGGATTTTACTGTGGTTTTGTTGCTTCCGCACGCTTCAAAAGTCCTTCAGAAAGGCTCAAAAATGGGAAAAAACTTCTCCCTGTGAAGGGAACAGGATTGTGGTTCTACACCCTACCGGGGCCACCGCCGTGGGCCGGTGCCCGGTTCAAAGATGGTGTCCGGAAGTGGCTTCACCCGCCTGATGGGCTCCACCCTATTCCCTATTCCCGTCCCTCTTCCCACCTCCTCTTCCCTTCCCTCTTCCTCTTCCCACCTTCTTTCCCCACCCCTCTTCCTATCCCTCTTTCTCTTCCCACCCCTCTTCCTGCCCCTCTTCACCTCCTTCTTCCCATCTCTATTCCTCTTCCCTTCCTTCTTCCCACCCCTTTTCCCGT